GATTGATCAATTAGTTACGTAGTTATAGACGATTCAATTTCGAGCAGGCCGAAGCGGCCGCGCTCTCTGCTTCCCCCACCACCACCGCCCGTACGATTTTCTTGAATTTCTCGCTTGCATAAATAACTTTACACGCGTTTTAAAGTAGGTTGCCAATGAAGAAAAGTATTGCAAACTTAGACCTGGTAAGTACTCGGAATACCAAAGGTATTTTTCGAATGGATGTCCCTGTACATTTAGTGTAAATGACTTTGATCCGGCTATGACTACGTAACTAATTGACAAATCGATCTGTTTTTTTTTAAATATACAACTTTCCAATAAATTTTAAAACCTGCTTTAAAAAATTTGATTTGATTGAATATTCACAAAGTTATTCTAATTGTTTATAAGTACAAAAATTCGACCAATGTTTAAACAAGAGCCAGAGCTCTCCTAATTGACCGATTCGAATTTTTCAAAAAACGTTTGAAAGATTGAGAGCCCTTGTATATGTGATTCAATTTTCAAGTATCTAAGTGATATTTTGTAAAATTTAATTACAAACATTTTTTTCCTCTTCTATTTTTGCCTAAAATCAACTCTTGAAAAGATACATAATTAAATAGGAAGAAAAATACATTTTTCGAATTTTTTTAACATATTGTGCTGCCAAAATTTAAGCCCACGTTTTTTTTATGCGCATATTCATTCATTTCTACTAATATTTGAAAGTCATAAAGCCAAAAATCCAGTGCGGTAGAAATACCAAATGAAGTAAAAGTAAACAATTATATATTTCTATTTTATAACGGTTTGACCATTACTATTAACAATAAGTTTTCTATTTTCTCACGTTGAATTGTTGGTTTCATTTCAGGAACCGTGGAGTTCAGGAAAATCATAGTTTTAAAATATCTTTCAATTTTAAAATAATCGTTTTAATAATTGTTTATCATCAATACCATTTATTATTACTTGAATAAACTTTATTTACAGCAATAACGAAATTACACGCGTAAAGGATAGCTTGTACATTAATAGTAAGTCTGACCGATTTTCTCCAAAAAATAGTCAAGCACATGTATGTAAAGAAAACATTACTTTAGCAGACGACACGATTTCGAAAGTTTCAGATTTTACGTATAAGGAAGATGGAAAACATGAAACTAACTTGTCACTGGACACATATCCTATTGGGTATCTAAATGAACAAAAATTAACTAATTTTATTGTGCTTAACAATATAATTTCTAGACATGATCCATATAATACTCCATTAAGGATTTCGAAAAAAGAACCTTTTACCAAAAAAGAAACAGTAAGACCTGGCCCTGCATTTTTATTTAACGAACTTGAAGTAACTTCGGTTAGTAGGTACTTAGGACTTGTAAATGTATACATATAATTCTATTTTTTATTCTAGAGGGATGCCAAAAAGGTTTCTTTTAATGAAAGTATGTCATATGGTCAAGCCTCAGAAAGAGTGGACAAAGAAAGAGAAACTTATACGCACGGTAATATAATTATTTTCAAGTTAAATTTTGTTCCATGAAAGATACTCATAATAAATATGGGTTTAGTTATTAACTCCAC